AACAAGCACCGATACTAGAATTTAACGTAGTAGAAACGAGTTATTAATTTGATATTTTTATAAAACTAAGAGACGTGAACTAGATAAATGAATTTATCCCTGAGTCACTTCTCCAATTAGCTTGACATTTTTTTAGAAAAAATAAAAATATGAAGGGGGGAGTGAGAAATTTAATTTCTTCGGATTATTTTTAAGGTGAATCTCATCAAATTTCGGTAATTTAAATCAATGAACCAGTTAAATTCCTCGTAGCAAAAGAAGAAAAGGAGGAGGAGGAGAAGGGAGGGAGGGGGGAGCAAAACTTCGTCCTTCATCTTGTGGTAGCCGAAGTTCGGAGATGCCGCCAATTTTTTGCCTGGTTTAACCAGAAAAAAAAAGGCTGTTTGTAAACAATAAATGGCCACGTGGCGCCAGCTAGTCCCGCTTTAAGAACGGCGAGAATGTGGAAAGACGGTGACCTCCAGTAGACCCGTCTTTCCCGCTGCTCCCATCGCGCTTGCTCCATGTTAAATCTATTCTTATTGGTGGAAACTGCGAGTATAAAATCGGCTAGATAGCTTCGTCACTCATTGACTGATCCGTTTTACTATTCTGGTGGAGTGTGGTGTGGGTTTGTCTCTCTTCACACCCGCCTTTACTTAGAACGACGGATTTAATCATGTCCATGAAAAAGCAGTGGATGCTCCTAATGCAGCAGAAAGTAAGTAGGGGGGGTTGACTGGTACAGCATCCGTTCGCTAGTTAACAAGAATTGTCATCGTAAAAATGGATGAAAGAACAGCTTGCAACATCGATTCTTTAAATTTAATTAATATTAAACAACATACATTCAATACCAGAAAAGAAATAATGGTGTTAACAAGAAGAAACTAGTAAATTAATGGTTTAGAACTTCAGCTCAAATCGATGATCGATTAGATTTTTAATTTTTAATTAAATTTTCCATAAAATTAATGAAGAAAATGATGCAAGAGATGATTGTAGTAACATCATTCCCAAAATATCAAGTAGATGCGGACAGTTGGACAACTTCAACGTGCCAAAAGTAGAACTTTGATGCCAGTGCTTAATGCGTCGTTGCTTCTTGGCATGAGTTATGTATGCCACTAAACAACCAATAAGACATTTTCATTAAAGCGATTAGATAACATTATTTAATTAAAAGAAACTAAGTGAATTATACACGTAACTTCACCCTAAATACCTCATTTGTTCTTAAATATCTTTAAAGTGGGCATTCCACATTCTCCAGGAATTTTTCCTACTTTTATTTGATAAAATAAAAAAAAAAAAAANTTCGGAGATGCCGCCAATTTTTTGCCTGGTTTAACCAGAAAAAAAAAGGCTGTTTGTAAACAATAAATGGCCACGTGGCGCCAGCTAGTCCCGCTTTAAGAACGGCGAGAATGTGGAAAGACGGTGACCTCCAGTAGACCCGTCTTTCCCGCTGCTCCCATCGCGCTTGCTCCATGTTAAATCTATTCTTATTGGTGGAAACTGCGAGTATAAAATCGGCTAGATAGCTTCGTCACTCATTGACTGATCCGTTTTACTATTCTGGTGGAGTGTGGTGTGGGTTTGTCTCTCTTCACACCCGCCTTTACTTAGAACGACGGATTTAATCATGTCCATGAAAAAGCAGTGGATGCTCCTAATGCAGCAGAAAGTAAGTCATTTAATTTAATTTTAATTTAATTTTAAATTTATAGAGGAGAAATAATTTACTTTAAAACTTGAAAAAGAATCTTTCTCCTCTTCGTTTTTGTTATAGAATCCCTCCCGAGGTTATTTCTGAATCCTAAAATGGAATTACTTTCTCCTGTTTCATCTCCTCCTCCTCCTCCCGTTTTCTAGTCGCGTGCAGAGTTTATTTTCATCTTCTGTATCGTTTCTATCTCTTCCACAGACACAGGAAGAGGTCTTTCCCATTCTCTCCACCCCTAATTTTAACGGGAAATTATACGCGAGGGCTTAAACTTCCTCTTCCGGCGCTTACTAATTTCGAAAAACGTATATCTGAAGGACTAATTTATCGCGAATACGGGCACATATGTTACGTTTTAATCATCCCCCCCACGCGCTTGTATTCCTCTCTCTCTCTCTCTGTTATAAATGCCGTTACTGTAAGGAGCCAAAAATTATTTAAGCACTGTTTTTGTTGTTTCTAATTTCGATGTTACCGACGACGTGTTGTCTTTCCAAAAAAGATTTACGGGTGTTTAAACCGTTTCTATCATCTCCACCCCCCTCACCGTTCGTTCTTTCATATATTATTAACCTTTCCGTTCTGCGATACGTAACCTACATCGCGTAACTTATGTTACGTAACGAGATATCTTACATGGTCAATGAGCTTGTGACATCTCACACAATTTCTCTTTCATAAGACCCGGGTTGGAATTTTTGGGTGTGGGAAGCGTTACGTACTACAGCCATTTCCTCCCCTCTTATCACGTGATAAGTCTACCGGGGGAGGGAGGGAGTGTCTCGCGATGCGTATTAATTCACCTCGTCTTAACGTCCCTTCGATTTAGCGTAGATTAATAGGTTATGCTCGTGTCTCTCTTAAATCGAAGTTCAACACGCGAACGTGACTGAGAATTGAATTAAGCGTTAAATTTAGATACGTTTTTCGTATCGAAATTCAAATCAATTATAAACCCTCCTCCTCCTCATCTCCCTCCTCTCCCTCTTCCCCCTCCTCTCCCTCCTCAATTTAACTATTAAAATGACGAAATTCGTCATTCAGTTTTCGGGTGTTTCTTTACTTTATTTCCTAAACTTCCTCCGATTACGTGAACGAAATGATAAATGAATCTAAATATAGAATATGCCAAGAATTTGGTTAGTTAAAAACCACGTCATGAAAGTCACTCGGAGTATTTTTAAATAAATATTTTCGTGTTTCGTCACAGTGTTTCTCGCACGCGCCGTTTTCTCGTGTTTTTTTATTTTTTTTAAAGCTTCGTTAATTGGTAGAGAATTTTTATACTTTGCAACACGGAAAACACAATCGATCCCTGATTGTTTTTCATTTATAATTTGGTTCAGAGTTCGATTTCTTAGCCGAGAATATGAAACTACGTATTGTTTTCGGTGTCAAATATCATTATTTTTTCTAGTTTGGCCTTGAAAATAGACGAAGCGGGAAGTTTTATTAATATTTTTAAGGCCAATTTGTCCTTTTTTTTTAAAAAATAATAAATATTTTGCTCGGTTGAATACGATAAAGTTCCTTTTTTTCGGGTCTTCGAGAAGGATGGGAGCATCTCAACTTAATGGAAATCGAACTCGGACTCTTCAGGGCCACACGATTTCATTCTTAACACAAATGCTCGTATACTGTGTGTAAATTTATAGGAAGGGTATGGAGTGAATAATACAAGATTCTTCGTTAGATTATTATGTTGTAACCCGCTGTTTGTTATAATTCGTGTTGCAAGATTTGAAATATTTAATTTATTAACAATTGTTGTAATAATATAGTAAAAGTGATGCAATTTTTATAGAAGTATCTTATATAAAGTTCGTTCCACCTGAACCTGAAACACGGGGATGTTGAATTTACACACGCAACATCCTCGAAACTGAACAGAATATTTCGGGATTGCCAATTTTATGAACCGAATTTGGGTATATAAATGGTACCTTTTTTCTCTATTATTGTTATTATTATTATTATTATTTATTAACAATGGCTTAATTCTCTTTATGAAAGAATTTAGTGAAAAATTAAAGTCGTCGATTGTTATTTTAATCGTGTTTTAAGTATATTGTATGAGGGTCTTTTAAGTGTTTCGAGGATTTAATTTATAGAATATATTCATAGTATTATATTACTTCAAAGCCCTGGCATTTTCCCCTCACGAACGTCAAACACTAGCATTTTTCCCCCTCTCACAAGCGAAAAAACCCTGGCATTTGCAGATAAAATGCCTTCCTAACTTTATCCCTACTTGCAGACTTTCCCTAAAATCCTTTATAAAAACATTAAAAAAAACCCCTATTAACACAGAGCAAGCAACAAAATGTTATATACTACATTTATTTTACGTGCTTACATACAAAAAGTTGTATTATTTTCTTTTCCTGCTTAATTTATCTATAAAAGTATTTTCTATTCTAATTTTAGTGGGCATTTTTCTGTTAAATTAGCGTATAAACTATATGCAAACGTTGGCCGAATTTAACAAGTACAGGTGTATAACCAAAATAAAACACTGTTACTATTTATTGGCAGAGCTATGACTTCTAGTGAAATCAATTGGCAACCTACTAGCATCGAATGTCTGGAACAATCCTCCCTTCTGTAAAACAAAGACAATAGAAGTAAAATTATATATATATATATATATATACACTACACTTTACTTTACTTCCTCCCCTTCTTGTTATCTAATTTACCATCTGCCATTTGTTTTATTTCTCTTGTTGCAAAATCTAATTGAGGATGACTCCATTTTGTAGTATTAAAATCGTTATATTTTCTAGAGAAATTTTGGTGAATTTTTCTAGAAATTTTGCGCCCCTCTAGACCAGAATAGAATGAATTCTTAAAGGTTGAAAGCATACTCATACCCTTCTTCTTTCTTTTTTATTTTTTTGCTCTATATTTATGATTTACTTGGCTCCTTGCCCGGTGTTGGGGAAAACTGGAAGATTTTTCTGCTAAGAAAATAATTATTTTTATCTCTCTAATAACCTACTCATCAACTTTTTCGGTATTTTTTTCTAAGGATGAAATTGTTAGGAAACACTTTAAAATATTTTTTAAAATTAAATCTAAATATTCTCCCCCCGAGCTTCTTTATAGTAAAGAAACAATGTAATATTTTTTGCCTGGTTTAACCAGAAAAAAAAAGGCTGTTTGTAAACAATAAATGGCCACGTGGCGCCAGCTAGTCCCGCTTTAAGAACGGCGAGAATGTGGAAAGACGGTGACCTCCAGTAGACCCGTCTTTCCCGCTGCTCCCATCGCGCTTGCTCCATGTTAAATCTATTCTTATTGGTGGAAACTGCGAGTATAAAATCGGCTAGATAGCTTCGTCACTCATTGACTGATCCGTTTTACTATTCTGGTGGAGTGTGGTGTGGGTTTGTCTCTCTTCACACCCGCCTTTACTTAGAACGACGGATTTAATCATGTCCATGAAAAAGCAGTGGATGCTCCTAATGCAGCAGAAAGTAAGTCATTTAATTTAATTTTAATTTAATTTTAAATTTATAGAGGAGAAATAATTTACTTTAAAACTTGAAAAAGAATCTTTCTCCTCTTCGTTTTTGTTATAGAATCCCTCCCGAGGTTATTTCTGAATCCTAAAATGGAATTACTTTCTCCTGTTTCATCTCCTCCTCCTCCTCCCGTTTTCTAGTCGCGTGCAGAGTTTATTTTCATCTTCTGTATCGTTTCTATCTCTTCCACAGNTACTATATATATATATAATCCCCTAGTTCGTGGTTGGTCCACAAAATCGGGTTTTAAAATTCCGTATTGTACGAGGGAGGAACCGTTCCAGTATATTTAGAATTGCGTTATATCGAGGTGTTGTCTGTGTATACCTTTATTAATGAGTTAGATGTAAGTAAAATTACGTCTACGCTTTTTAAGACACTTGACCCTCCTAGTGGATAAAAGCATCCAACACCTGACCAACGTAGAGTTTTTTCCGGGTTTTCTTCACCTGTGTAACACTTAAACAGGAACTAGTTTCCTGTAAAGTCCTCCCTTGTGGTACCCCATCCCTCGTGTTGCGTTACCATATCTCATTTACCTTACCTACGAATCCTTTTGACCCCTCCCTACCTTTAGGGTATGATGCACTTTAATCGAACCCCTCCCTTTTTAACTGTGTGTGTAGTAGTTCATCCTCTGGCAACCGATTCCTCGACCCCTCGCCTCTCCATTGTGTACAATGACGTACATTTCGCAATCCCCCCCTCCTCCCTTAAACTGTAAACGTAACGGATGACCCATTACAGGAGGGGACCTTTTAATATATGCGTAATAAACCAATAGTTTAGAAGGGAGAGGGGGTGGACTTACTCTACATTCTTCTACCATACGCTGGATTTATTTAAAGTAAGACACACATTTATATCCTAATTTCTTACAGGATATTTAAATTCATTCTAGAAATAATTGTTAACTAAGTTTCTGAAGTGTTACGGAAGGAGTGGGTTCGGTCCCAACTGGAGCATACGCGTTTTTTTCTGTGTCACGGGGGGTTTTTCCTTTCCTTTCCTTTATTGGCACGTGATTTTTAAAGGCCAGGGTTTATATTTAAAATGTAGTCTAATCTCGATATAGTGTCACCCTTTTAAAGCGCCGGCGAACACGGACGAACGGACAAATTATATTAAATAGAAAACGCTTGGGTATAACGCTGCAAACTATCCCTTATTGTTCGAAATACTTCTGAATAGCGTAACACTCGATTTATTGAGGCGTTATATCGAAGCTTATCGATGCTAATTAATAAAGTATCGAGTGAAATAAATCGATATTAATTTGCAGAAGAATTATTTTCTGGTGTGTATTATCGGCAAGGAAAAAGAAAAAGAAGAAAGAAAAAAAAAAGGGGGGGGAGCAAACTATTAATTCTAATAAAAGGAGTTTTAATGTTTTCCTTTCAACTTGATAACCTCAGACAGGAAGTAAGTCGTCTGTGGATGGGTTTTATGTGGCCTTGACCCCATATTTTATTTCTTCTCGTGACTGTTCTCCTCTTTTAATGCGGACTGAACGAGAACAAATTAAAACAAAAGTCACTTATTTTACTTCTATAAATCTACAATATTAATCTACCTCTCTCTCTCCTTTTAATTAAATAATCAAATTCCTAATTAAGGGGTGGCCCGAAAGTCAGTTAACCGCGACACGTAAGCGCGGTTGCGGGTTCGATCAGCGGTTGTAATTGGTAAATTAATGCGATCTTTACTCGTAGAGTATATACAATGGAACCCCGATGTAGCGCCCACCCCGTTATAGCGAACGACGATTTTCATTGTTGGCCCGGCCCCCCTTGCTTTTCTGTATTTCGTACGGCGAACTCCCGATGCAGTAAACGATCTTAAAACTCGGTCCTCTCCGGAATCGCTATATCGAGAGTCTAAGGCCACAGGGTGGCCTAAAAGTCGGTTAACCAGGATAAAGACTTCAAACTATCACTGTGTTCGAATGCTTTGTCGTCAGAGAATTGCTTAGAAGTATTGGAAGGAAACGTAATTTAGAGCCTTTACAATGGTTAACTGACTTTTAGGCCACCCTGAACGATAGGTTCAATGTATCGGGTGTTCGTTCATCGTTTGAGTCTCTACTTACAGCGAAATTGTTCGTTATATCGGGGTTACTTCGATTTACAGTTTGTTTTTTTTTTTCTTAAATGCAACCGAAAAGCGCGGTTAACTGATTTTTGGCCCACCCTGTACGTAAAATACCCGGGGAAAAAACGACGCTGTAATTAACTATTTATAAGAAATACAGTGAAACCTGCTTAAGAGGGACTCGCGCCGTACCGGTTTGGCAGGTTTCCGCTTTGAACGGGTTTTACTGTATTCAAAAATAGGGAATTGTATTGCTTAAAAAGGCAAACCGCTATATTTTTTTTACCCTGAAATAGNTTTTTTTTTTTTATGGTTTACTGAAATCCCCGAAAATTTTTTAAAGCATGCAGAAAATTTGATACAAAAAACTGCACGGCTCATAACGGCACCATTTTATCAAACGGTACATGCATCGGCACATTAAAATACTTTTTAATTAACATTACAGTATAAATTGTCTGTGTAGTGTACTTATCGGGTTATAAATCTTTATGGTTTTATGATTAACATATGGATAGATTTTATTTATATTTATTTTATTACGGATTTTACCGATTAAATTCGATATATATTTTTTTTTTTTTTACTTTTAAATTCAAAAAATTGAATAAAATAATTCGTTATTTTCGGTTTAATAACGGACGAATTTCTTTTTCCGTACGTAATTGACATCTCGAGTATATCCAATCGGATTACTTTTAAGAAACGAAGAACGGACTCGATTGGTTCTTTCAAATTTAAAATTTATGTATTTTTTAATATAATTTATGCGGTGTTTAAGTTTCGAAACAAAGTGAAATACAATGGCGCATTATACTGGGGGGGAGGCTCCTACCAATAGTGCCTCAAATTATTATTTATTACCCCCAAAATATTCCCCTCTGATCTGAAATTAATACCGTACGCAAGGGGCCCCAGTAATTGAAATTCGCCCGGGCCCTATAAAGTTTATAATGAGCCATTGGTGAAATAAGTGTATTGCCCGTTGAATACCGTATAATGCAATTCTTATGTAATAATTATTACTTTTTAATATTTTATCACGTGTTATGAAACATTTCCTAAGAAAATGTGTATCAGTTTCAGTCCTTCGCATTGATTGATTATTAATTTTTAAGAGAATTGTCGAAAAAAATCTTGACATAAATAAACGACAATTACGTCTTGAAACAAATCAATTTACCTACTTTATTTTTTCATTACCTAAATAAATTCTGTAGAAAATTTTAATGTGGATATCCAAGTTATTACACATAATAATAAATTAATAACAGGTTTCTTTATAAGTGAAGTAGCCTAGAAAAATCGTGATGCAATAACACTACAATATTACAGCAGAATCTTTTTCTTTCCTCGAGTTTATAACGGATTAATAACTGAGGAAAAAGTGATGCCTCGTACCGAAATTTTATTTTAGTGATTGATTGATTGATCGATCGATCGATTGATTTCTTTCAGGAAAATCGATCAGTAGCAATGCCCGCACCTCCGAGTGGTATGGATGTTCCTGAATTAGTAATCACCAAATCTGCAGAAGTTGACGAAAATAAAGAAAGAGGGAATTGGTCGAGTGGTGTGGAGTTTCTTCTATCGTGTTTGAGTTACGCTGTGGGTCTTGGTAATATTTGGAGATTTCCCTATCTCTGTTATAGAAATGGAGGAGGTAATTACCTTTTTTTTAATATTCTTATTATTATTTTTAATGGAATTGTAATTTAAATAATAATAATAATACATTTTAGGAGCTTTCCTTATACCTTATTGTATTATGATGTTATTTGTTGGACTTCCACTCTTTCTCTTGGAATTATCTTTTGGACAATATGCTAGTGAAGGCCCAATTACAATATGGAAGATATCTCCCCTCTTTCAAGGTAAGTGGTGTTGAATTTTTTTTTTTATGTCGACAGTCTATTGTTTAGAAATTTTAGGGTGGATCAAAAATTAGTTTACCACTGTAATGATTAAATTGCTGTTTTTATTCCAATACTAAACTTAGCAAACAATGTTGAGTGACACTATTCTTATTCAGTATACAAGTTGCGACTCTTCGACACTTTCACAAATTGCTCTGTATAAATCTGTATCGCTGTCCAATTCTTCCAAAACACTGTTAACTGACTTTTGGTCCACCCTAGAACTTACAAAAAGTTTTGCTTTATAATAATAATTTTATCTAAAGAACTAAATCTGTCCACAGATCAACACCAACCCTTAAGGTACAATAGGAAGAAAACAATGAAAAGAACTAACGATATATTTAATGAAAATTGTCTTTCGTATTGTTATAAACAATTTTCACAGAAAATCATAATGGTTTAATATATTTTTCTGCGATTTTTCTTTAATTTAGCTTCAATAAACAAATATAAAAGGCCATCTTGTATGATCGAAGAGAGTTGTTCAACCCTTCTCGTCTCTGTAACAATTGCAATTTTCTGTGAAAATTTCATATATTTTTGTTGTTTTATGAAAGGCTACACACCTGGATATTTTCTACGAAATTTTTTAGGAAAATTATTCTATAACATTCCTTTGTTTATACAGACATAACGTGTCTTTATTATATTACAATATATCCTTCCTATTGTGAACATGGCATTGATGGTATCAATCTACATATACGTCACATTGACATTCTCTTCTATAGGTTCGTTACGTGTGGTTTCCTTTATAAAGAAATGTCTGGAAAACTTGTAAAATACGTTTATTTTGTAATGAAAACTCGTCTTGCCTAAAGTTTAAACAGAGAGATTCCTTTAATTTCTTTTAATAATAATAATCAAACGTGTGATCTTTCGTGGATCCTTTTTGGCCCATTTGTCGTCCACTCGTGCATCTTTTGCCAATGAATTATCGTTTAAGAAACACAATACATTATGTAATATAGTCTATAATAGTGTAACTGAGAAGTTATTTATAGAAATACGAGAAGCTCTAAAATCTTCAACACGTTTTAAATATTAAATGTGTTACTATGCCTCTTTTCCTGTAAATAATTCTAAATAATTGTATGTAATTTAGAAAATAGAAACTGTTTCTTTCTGTGTGTTTTTTTTTTCAATCAAATTGAAGTTTCTAGTTGATTGTTTCGTAAGTACTTTGCTTGTGTTTGTAAAGCTTATAATTCCTTTTTAGTAATTAATGAAGAGAAATGATTGGACTTCTGCCAGATAAGAAAGTAAACAAGCTGCACCTCTATAATCCTAAAATAATAGGACAATTGACATTTCTGAGAAGATACAAAAACTAATTTTCTTTTCTTTTTAATCACTTAAGCATACATTGTTTGTTTTTTTTTTTTTTTTTAATTCACTACACCTTTATATCAAAAGAAAATGTCACATAATCACGTTTAAGAACTTCTTTATATAATAACAAGCAATTAAATTCTTAGTTGTTTAATCTCACCCCCCTCTTATTTTAATTCTTACAGGTGTTGGATATGCCATGTTCCTGATGTCTAGTTTAGTAGGAATATACTATAATATGATCTTGGCATGGGCACTCTTCTATTTATTCTCGTCCTTCACTACTCATCTACCGTGGAGTTCGTGTGACAATTGGTGGAACACAAACGGTAAATATACTTGTGTATAAATTTTGTAACGTGTTTTTTTTTTTTTTATGGTTTACTGAAATCCCCGAAAATTTTTTAAAGCATGCAGAAAATTTGATACAAAAAACTGCACGGCTCATAACGGCACCATTTTATCAAACGGTACATGCATCACACAAAACGAAGTGTCTCCAGAAGTGTGGAATCAACTGCTCAATTCTACAGCTAATACAAAAATGGCAAGCGATGAATACTTTCAGTAAGAATGTGTTTGATTTTTAATAATCTTCTAAAGGAATTCGTTCGTTTATACAGTATGTCTTTAAACATTTATTTTAAAAAAAAAAAAGACTTATTAATTAACATTAATTTCAATAATTGCATATTCCTGTTTTTAGTAACTTCGTCTTGGATCTGACAGAAGGTTTACACGATTTAGGTGCTGTGAAATGGCAGCTTGCACTTACTTTGTTGGCATGTTGGATAGTCGTGTTTCTCTGCTTGTTACGTGGGGTTAAAAGTATGGGAAAGGTAGACAATAAAACCCACAAAAATTTAATTAATTTCTTTAAATAAACAAAAAGTAGCTTTAATTAATTACATAATTTTTTTTTTATTTTTTAGGTTGTGTATTTTACAGCATTGTTCCCATACGTGGTACTCATGATTTTATTAATCCGAGGAGCTACATTAGAAGGATCTTTCGATGGAGTCATGTTTTATCTTACCCCTCAGTGGGACAGATTAAAAGAAGCTAGGGTATTTAAATTTATTTTAAAAATTTCTATTATATATATATATTATAAATTTCACATAAATACATTTATTTTCAGGTGTGGGGTGATGCTGCAATGCAAATCTTCTTTTCGTTATCTCCCTGCTGGGGTGGTTTAATTACACTCGCTAGTTATAACAGATTTCATAACAACTGTTACAAGTAAGTTAAATTACTTATACAAAATGTACGTAAGAAAATGCAATTAGCTAATGACGATTAATTTTTTTTAAACTTTGTTCTTTAAATAGAGATACTCTCTTTATTACTTTTGGTAATTGTGCCACCAGTTTCTTTGCTGGTTTCGTGATATTCAGTATTGTTGGATTTATGGCTCATGAATTGGATGTTCCTGTGGATGAAGTCGCATCACAAGGTAAGGTATATATTTTTTTAATAATAGGACTTACTATTTAGTACATTCAAAATATAAATTTACTATTTAACTACTCCATTAACACGTGAACTACTCCATAATTCATTAAATTCATAAAATATTTAACGAATTTACGAATTTCAATCTAATGATGTACACAAGATACATCACTTTTAAGTCTCCTGAAAGACACTACTTTTTTATTTCCATTTTATGAAAATAAATCTTGGTTTGGCTTAGCTTTTACACTTCTAAGTGATTCTCTGACCATAAATAGCCAAAAATAAGGCAGTGGAGCAAGTGTTCTTCAATCTACACGATTACACTGCAATGTACTGTACACTTCGTATCAAGAATACTCAATCCGTGCTCAAAGTTCTTGGTCTTCCTCTCTCGTTTCTTACTTATTAACATCTATTTTAATGAGTTTTGAGGATTCTGCAGTCCTTCATTCTTGAGGAATAAGGCATTTCAAGAATGCCTCATTCCTCCAAGAAAATGCCTCATTCCTTCAAGAATGAAGCATTCTTGAAATGCCTCATTCTTGAGAAATCCAAACACGATTGACAATGTCTTGAAATCTTCGTGAGTTTTCCTCCGACGAGAGGGGAATACCCCGTGCTCGAGATTCACACAGGCCAGAACATCATCCCACAATGTCTTTAAGCACTAATCACTACTGAAGCACTTTTGTGCTATAAAATGCTTAACAATAAGTATTCCTTATTTTACTTGGGGTCGATGTAAATTTCTTTTCCTCCCTGGCTCAGCCATGGTTTTGAGCAGTGGTATAACTAAGATTTTGCTCTGGGGGGTGTGTGATCTACAGGATGTTCTAAAAGTACATTTTATAAACACTTATTACAATTTTAATACAATTTACGGTAGAAATTCAAGTTTTCTAGGTTATTTAAGTTTAAATTTTATTCCTCTGGGGGATCTGACACCCATATTAACACTCATAAGTATGCCACAATGTTTGAGTTTTAAGTTACAATGTGCTGAAATCATGACTATTGAAAAGCTTTAGAGGAAAATAATAATAATAATTGCAATCTTAAATTGATTGATAAAATAACACCTAAATAGGGGTTCACAAAGTCCTCCCTCATCTCATCAAGCCATTACATAAAATTGATTAACAGTATAATTTTCTATTTTTATTTATTTACAGGTGCAGGTTTGGCATTTGTTGCTTATCCTGAAGCTGTTGCAAGACTTCCAATTTCACCATTATGGGCTTTTCTTTTCTTCTTTATGCTTATGACACTTGGTCTAGGAACACAGGTAAATGCCTTTTTTACAAAGTTGTCTAATACACTTCTATAAATTAGCATATTTAAAGTTAATTAATGTAAGAATGTTTAAAATCTATCTTTAATTTGAAAATTTTTTTCAGTTTACAATAATTGAAACAGTAGTAACAACAATTGTTGATACTTGGCCACATGTTTTACGAAGAAACAAACCGTATGTTCTGACAGGGGTTTGCATAGTTATGTATCTCATGGGTTTAATAATATGCACAGAGGTATAAATTTATTGAATACATTTATCTTATACAAATTTACACATTTTTATTTAATAATATATATATTTTTCTCCCCTAGGGTGGAATGTACATATTACAATTAATGGATAATTATTGTGCCAGTTTCTCAGCCCTTATTATAGGTTTAACAGAAGTAATAGTTATTGCTTGGATTTATGGTAATATACAGTTTTTTACCCATATCATTTATCATAGTCATTACTTTAACATAAAGAAACAAATTAATTTTAATAAGTTTTATAAAAATTAAATAATAGAAAAGATTTTAAAGAGGATATTGAAATTCTTTTTAGATTCTGAATAGCAAACAATTCCAGTAGAAAATAATAAATATTTTCAATACATAACATAATTAGGAATTTAATTTTCATGTAATTTGCAACTGTTAACATTTGATTTTATTGATTTTTCCATCATATAAAATGATATTTGGATTGCAGCTTTAAGATGTTACTGCCGTGACATCCGTGGTCTATCTGAACTCGATACAGATCCTTATAATTCATCATGCAGTAAGAGTCAAGGCATCATTCTTCATCCCCATACATATGTTAGTCAGTTGTATTGAAGGTTAAACTTCTACTGAACATAAAATACAAAAATATTTACTGATAATACTTTTATCTGTGACTATATGAATGTGTGATGCTTAGTCCATGGACATTCATATAATGCTACATGTATACATACTGTAAAATTTGTTTTTTAATACTTTATCCTGTGAGCTGTAAGAGAACCTTTTTCATGCCATCACAAGTTAAACCAGGCCTGCAATGAGAGAGCGGGTGATGAGGGATGGTGCCGGACCAATGAAAATGTGATAAAATGGTGTAGATTCACGCCTAGATCCTTCAATCGGGCTAGCATCTTAAATTTTCTATCTCTAAGTAATATTAAAATTTGGGATTTCATGCAACTGATTATGAAATGAAACATGCATTTAATAGAAATATATTAAACATTTTAATTTATATTTTTTAAATAGGTGTTGACAGATTTTTGAATGATATAAGAATAATGTTGGGTCATTATCCCTTTCATCGTCAATATTGGAGATTCATATGGAAATACTTAGTTCCATTAATGATTATAGTAAGTACACTTTGATTTAATGGTAGAATTTTTTTCCCCTGTTACTAAGCACTAAACATATAATCAATATCATGTAGTTTTGTATTTTCTTGTTGATATTGGTTAATAGAAGCTTAATACTTAAACAGATTTGATTTTATGGAAATTTAATGATCAACAAATTAAAAAAAGTATAATATAATAAATTGTTTTGTATTATTTTTAATTAAATACAAATAAAATTGAGTCTTCTCACATCCTTCCAACCATAGGTTCATGTGGTTGGAAAGAAAGAATAGGAGAAATGAAAAGATTCTTTGAAACTAAGTAATTGTTTATGTATGATTCAAAAAAAGAAACAAATTCCTTTTCATTCCTCTCATTAAAATGTTTTTTCTATATTTTATATAAATTATATGTAACTTTATTAATAAAAATTAATTTTATTTCAACAGTTCATCTTGATATTCAGTTGGATTGATATGAAGCCTACACAATATGGTACTTATGTTTATCCAGATTGGGCTACAGGAGTTGGTTGGTCAATTTCCCTCTTTTCTGTCAGCGCAATACCTGTTGTTGCTATTATTAAAATCTCTCAAGCTGATGGACCTCTTCTAAAGGTATTGAATTTGTTTAAAGTATTTCTTACACAATAATTCCTTTACTTCAATGAATTAACATTAAAAAAAAACAAGTACTATAATAAACATTTTGAATTTCAGATAAAGTAATGAACAAATTCAGAGGGCCATCCTCTACTTATGTCCTTCCACTTACCTTATCTTCATAACTCCTAGTACTTTCCTTTAACTTCATAAATAAAATAAAATCAAATAAACACAGGAAAAAGATTTTAAATGTGATATTATATATATATATATATATATATATACACATCCACAATATCCTCAGTGGTACAGGAATAAGTATAAGTTTGCGCATTCCAATTTGGCCTCCTAATATTGGATCTAGTTAAGCTAATGGCCAAATTATTTCTTGGCATTTATCAATATAAAAAGTGCAATAAAATGTTAAAAACAAGCATTCTTTTTTTTCTTTTAGCTTCATTCATTCTCAGAAATAAGTTTTTTATTGGCTCATGATGATGATCCAAGTCCAAAAATCAGAGTTTTCTTTACTCCAAGGAAAACAGTTTGGCTTGACTTAATATTTATTTATGGATGAAGTTGATATGCCAAGTTATTCATGTTATGAATGCTTAACTTCTTCTAAATTGATAGAAATATTTTTAAACAATTATCTTAAATAAAAGTCTGATTTACTGCAATACACAAACCTAAATTAACCAGATTACCACTTCTCTAATCCATCATCAGGAGGGGGCACAGTCTTGATAGGTTTGGTTGTCCAAAGGTGATTAGAGAAATTTTATAGTTAATTTAAATGGGAACAAAATGCCTTCAACACAAATGTATTGTTTTCTAATTAATATGCCTAACTTGTATTAAAGATTAATTACAGTCGACACCCCCTATAACACTGTTGATTATTCTGTTTTATATGAATTCCATGTTGTACGAGTCACTTAGATTCTACAAATACGTGTGCCGGGCTGTGAACGGTTCACATATTTGTAAAATCTAAGTGACTCGTACAACATGGAATTCATATAAAACGGAATAATCAATAGTGTTATAGGGGGTCGACTGTATAATTAAAAATATAAGTGGCTTGATAATTTGGAGTTTTAAGTTGTTTATTCTTCATCTTTAGGAATTTTAAAATACTTTTTTTTATATTTTTTAGAGGATTTCCATACTTTCAAAGCCAACTTCAGAATGGGGACCTAAACTTCAAATGCATAGAATGGAAACCAACGTTCCCAAGCATACAGATTCTCAAGTTCCATTGACTCTTCCCAATTATGATCCAGATCCTGATGTATTCGATCCAGATGATAACTCGGACGATACCAAAACAGACGAAGGATCCGAGGGATTAAGGCTTAATATCCCTAGCTATATACATGAAACAGGATTTTAAATTTTTTTTAATTTAAAAAACTTTTTAAATATATGTATATTTCATTCCAAGATGGCGGATGCTAAACACTTAAACATTAGTGTCTGTTACTGCGTCAAAGAGGAGTATAGTCGATTGGCAACGTAAATTCTACGTAAACAAAAATTGCCAATCTTTATATATATATATATATAAATTAAAAGCAAAAAGAACTTTGCTTCGAGAGCAAATATAGCAAAGTTGATCAGTAGGCACAATTTAAGCTGCTGTGATAAAACAACTGGTTAATTTTGCCGTCCATTATGTTCCTAAGTTGCGAGCAAATAAAATATAGTCCTATTGCAAAGACTGGACAGCAAAAAACAAATTTTAATGATGATCTTTAAAAAATTGTAAGGGTTTTTAACGTAAATTTGCTTGTTTTGTAAGAAAAAACAAATGGCAATTTTTGTATTTTGCAGAATGGCATCACTGATTTTTCGAGTGCCCTTAATTACATGAACTTTCAGTATTTTTTAATATAGTTACTTGAAATCCATTTTATTTTGTTTATAGAATTGATCCTTTAAAATGTAGTTTTTAAGATAATTTAAAAGTACAATTTCTTCTATATATATTTATATTTTAATTCTTTAGTACTGTAAATTAATGTGTGTTTTATATATATTTCCTGACAATTGAAACGGTGTACTGTGCCATATTTCTGTAATCTGGAAATCTTTTTTACAATTTTAAAGTGTTTTGTACATCTTTAAAGAAGTCAAACTGACAAAAGAATATGCTTGAATGTAATTATTTATAAATGTTCTGTTTTTATATGAAATCAGTAAATCTGTATTTGCTCTTGCTTACAATTAGTACTAACTTCCTAAATTATTTATAGAAGTTAGAGATTTTTCTTTAACTGAAGAAATTAGCTGAAAATTTTTGACATTTTAGTAATCTAGATAAGTATATTAACACTTGAAAGGTTAGTTACTGGTAGATCTTTGTGCAAACCACCATGGCTCTATATGGAACCCTAAGCAACATGCATGCAAGAATGAAATCTGGGTCTTTTCAATATGCAGAGGATTAACCAAGCGCGAGACTCGGTCCCTTTAAGTGTTGGGCCCTGTGAAAATGCACATTGCATATTCGTGAAGATCTCTTGTACTGTACTAAAGTTGTTGATGAACGGGGCTTCGAGGTGATAAGCTCCAGGATGGATTTTTAATTCCTAATTCGTTGCTGGATAAGAAGCAATTTGTATCATTTGTAATAACATTTTCATAGAAAAATTTCTGGCTTCTACAGGAAGTTTTAATTTATATTTTGCAAAAATAAACAGGAGCCTTTAATATTAATGTGTTATTGTTCTGATATAAAATATTGTAATACAAAATCATATTTCTAACTTTTTTTTTTTAGTGTAGGTCCTATTTTATAAATGTATGCCTATATGATTGAAAAAAATCATAGAAATATATGTATATATCAATTTTCATATAAACTTTTTGCATATTTTCTAATTAAATACAATGTTTCTGATGTTCAATCTAGATTTTTGACTATGTCTACGCGTTGTTTTTTTTATGTTAATATCTGATGTAATTGTGGTCATAAAATCTGATAAATGACAAATTCTGTATGCGGATATCTTAAACTAAGAATATTTTTTGTGCTGTTTGTTTGCAAAATTACATTGAAAAAAAATTATGCTAATTTTAAAGTAATTTTGTCATTTTAACAGCTAGAATAAAAATTTTCATTTTATAAACATCTTTAAAATGGCTGTCAAATTTTATAATTAGCGATGCTAGCCGGCATTCTAATTTTTTCATGGTTACATTGAATGCTCCATCTACAAGACAATTCATTTTATGGTTAAATTTTACAATTAAGATCCTCCTCCTTTTAACTTCTCTCCTAAAACGCGTATTTTAAAATCACAGATCCCTCTGTAACGATACTGGGAGCCGCCATTTTTTTCTTTCAATGTCGTTCCCAAATGCTTACAAATAGCAGGGCACGCCTGTAATGGCGGAGACACAAACCACCGCTATCTGTAATAATAAAAATAGCTTTTATCGTCATCTATTAGCTGTGATTTACAATGATGTAGCAGTGAGTATCTTGATGGAGGTGGCCATTTTGGTTGAAAAATGCTGTATTATTATGCCGAAGGAAAATTCTTATATTCTCACTCTCTACCAGCATTGTCCAGCAACTAAACCATCCGTCAATCACAATCTAACAAAAGAATGGTGTATGATTTCTTCCAGAGACGTCGAAAGCTTGCACAAAGCAGGCCCCTGTTGAACAAATGAAATATGTAGAATGTTTGTTTATTAATAAATAGCAGTCGTACAGATTGTATTTCTTGTTAGTTAAAAAAAAATACAGTAGACTCCCCTATAACACGGGTTCGGATTCCTATATGACGGCGAAAAAATTGCGACGGTATCCGTACAAACATGGTAAAAAAAAACTCCTATAATTCGGTAAAACGTCATCGGGCAGCCGAACTACTTTCCGCCGTCCAGCGCCACGCTACGGAGAGTTTAGGCGGGGAAATTGAGTTTACTATCGTCTGTACGGTATTATATATAAATTGTATATAAATTGGGTACTGTATATATAATTATATATTAACTTAATTTATTGTAACTTTATTATAATTATATATATACTTTCCGCCGTCCAGCGCCACGCTACGGAGAGTTTAGGCGAGTAAGTTGAGTTTACTATCGTCTGTACAGTATGTAAATTAGGTACCGTAAGGCTAATACAGCACTGATTTTATACATTTCTTGTGAAAGAAACATTTCTTATTCAACGGCGATTAAAATTATTTATATTAATGATGTCTCCAAAGTTCAACGAAGTTTTCGCAGAAAAATAACTTATCAGAAATCGCGCCCGCCGTTTGGTGCGCTGCTCCGCGACGAAAACAAGCTTAAGCAATGGCGACGTCGAACGGTGCACACTCGGTAACTAATCCTACAATTTTTTATTTATAGCATAGTTTATACGGATTATTCCCAAAAAATATACGTATTTTGGAAATGTTGAATCGAATTAGTCTAGGAATCGATTAATTTTATGGAAGAAAACCTTTCAAACAGCCGTAGTCCGTAAACTGCACACGTGTCGGGCTGTGATTGGCAAGGACTCGTACAAAATGGATTCATAAAGAACGAAACGTATCTATCGTGTTATAGGGGAGTCGACTGTACATTAATTATAGGGATAAAGACGAGCCTCTGTTTCCTCTGGGCCCGGGGGAAAATTCCTAGTTCCCTTCTCGATGTCCCTATTCGACCCCTTTAAGGAATCCTCAACATTTTAAACTGAAATCTTTGAGGAATCCTCAAAAACTAAGGCTGTGTCGAACATTGCATGTGCATCCTTTTGTTTATGGGTTACAAATATTGAGTTCAAATATCATAAAATACAGACTGATTATTTAAAAATACTGCGTAATGGTGAGCTATCCTCAATAATGAGATATTTACTGATGATGGCGGAATCATTTATTGGTGATTTTCGTGCGTAAATATAGAAGAAATGATTGCAAATAATGCAAACGCGTGAATAACCTATTTCCATAATTTGCAGTTTGGAATATGTGCTTATATTTATTTAATAATTTAAAAAAATTACTGGTGTTTCGACCAAACAAAACAAGATGGCGCGTGTCTTTATTAAATTAGGCATAAATATTTTATCATGTTAATACTACTTTCCGGAACTTACATTTTTCTAAATCTTATTGAAATGATTTTTGATGAATTTTATATTCTATTTAAATAAAAATTTACATGTAAAATAAGTGATATATATAACTACATTTATTTTATTTATTCATCAACAGATGGCATTAGCATAGCTTTTGAGGCTTGTTTCTGAAACCAACGAGAAAATAGGTTACAGTATTTATTATTTGAGCCTTTAATTACAATAAAAAAAAATAATTTTTAAATTAATTAAAGGATAGATAGATAGTGGACTCCTTTATCTATTTTCCTCTAAATTAATTAGAGGAAAATACATAAAGGAGTACACTTTACCTCCCCGCTTCCCATGGGAGTCCTCGATGATCCTGCTCTTAGAGGTTCGATTGTATCCTTGTTAATTAAATTTAAAAATAGCAATTTTAAACGTAAAAACCTTACTAAATGTTCAAGCATTCGGGCATCCTCCTTGAATTGTACATTGAATAGCTTTAAAACTATTGTGTTTAATGTATTCTATCATGCAACAACTATTTCAAAATGTAATTATATTAAATTAAATATAACTATATTTAAATTAATTATAAAATACATTAAATATTCTGCATACACCCAATTCTCCTCTGTGTGTATACAGGGTGTTACAAAATAGTATACCTAGTAATTATCATTTAAAACAGTATTTATCATTTTAAAGTTAATGATCTTCACCTATTTTTATTATTATATTCATTATTTACGTTTTATATTCTTTAAAAATTCTTTAGATTTAAAATTTCATGAGAAAACGCCTGCTCAATTATTTCATCTTACAGGTATTATGTGTGTACTCATGTGTTTCTTTTATTAAAATGGCGTTTTATTGCTCTCTAATGAAAAAATACAACGTTGAGTGTAATTTATTGAAATAAAATTATTATATCTGAGTTAATTAATTGATTAAGGCTTGGCACCAGCACACACTAGGCTTAAAATTATGCCCAGTAGAGGTGGGGTCCACTGAAATGATAAATTGGTATAAATCGCCAAACTGTGGAATTTATATGAAAAGATCGTTGTATCAGGGACGTTCGGAACTTAAGAAACAAGAACCGACCTATCCTGTAATCCGCCACCTAAAGATGCACGAGGGCAATTAGAACCCCTTCAATCGGGTGCAGCAACCGCCACAAAACGTTGAACAACAGCCTCATCCATAGTAGTTCAAGTTCCAAAGAATGCCAATACATGTAAAATACCCAATAGTTCGTAGCCTGGACTCCAAACTTCACTTATGCCCACGATTGGATTGGTTTAATGGAGTAAGTCAATACAATACTCGGGTGATCTTCCAAGAGGAGGAAAGGAAAGTGGTCCCTATTTAGGCGATAGACATGTAAAGAAAACCCAGAAAACTTTATGTTACCAGCCTACTGGTGAGGTGCGAACCCGCGACCAGATACTAGCGTTTTAGCGGTTTTATTCACTTGGCCAATGGTAGGTACTGTTGATGCCCGTGATAACTTAATGCCCAGAATATACGAATTAATCTCAAAGCTTTCATATAATATTTTCTCTCTAAATTTCTCTTCTTATCTTTTATCAAAAATGGGCAGATATTATTTAAATTCTTCTCATGGTGCTTAAGAAATGGGCTCCACAGAACGCCCTGTGGGAATTAATCCACGGTGGACCTAGAACCTTTCTTCCAGGTTCATTATGGATTCGGCCAGTCTCATAGTGAAAAATCTCTGTTATTCTCTGATAAATTTTCTGTGTATTTACTGTACTGTACACAGAAATTATTATTTAGTTGTAAATGAGAATTTATAAATTACTTCTAGGATAAAGTAAGCTTCTATCTAAGAAAATTTCGACACGAATGACAGCAATTTCGATCTAATTATTTTATAGGAAATTATAAAATTATATGTCTTAATCAATATAAATTTCTATTTAAAAGTATATTATAATTACACATATTGGCCCGGATGCCGAAAAGTTAACGTGTCAGCTCACTGTTCTGAAAGATGAGGAATCGAAGAAACCCAAAAATTTTTCATAGGCGATCCCTCTCGGATACATCGAGCCTCATTTCTCCCCACTGTGGACCTGACCGAATCCACGATGGACTTGGAATAAAAGACCCTCTTAGTATTTTATATAAATAAATTAAATTTCAATTCAATTTTTTCTTTATAACGATCCATGAATCGATGATTCATCTTAATGTGATCCTAAGAGAAACTTTGATATGATTCAATCACATTGATTGTTTCATTGAACAGAAGAGCTAACGAGATACCAAAAAGGATCTTTATAGATTAACAAACTTGTTTTCCTCCAATTGTTTATAACGAGAAAGAAATTTTGCAATAAAAGTGATGAAATTATTAGGCGCCATTGAAAATTTAAAAGAAAAATGTCATCGTCTGGGATTTCTAAGTTCTTCGATATTAATTTAGATCAGCGATTTCTTAAGACATATCTCTAATCACAACTAGCTTCACCATGCAAAACATGACTACAAGCACGCAACTGAGTAGAGCTGACAGATCAGATAATTTACACTGCAATAATTTCACCAAGACGTTTGTTAACGTTTCAAACATTTTTTTTATTTTTTTTTTTTCGTTAATCTGATATACGACACACTGTTTTTTTTTTTCGAGTCAAGTAATAGTTAAAGTTCAA